TGGTTTGTGGGATGCAATGGAGTTCGAGAGAGATTGTTACTGGGAGGCGCTGAACTTCGGTGTCGGTGGAGATAGCTGGGATGATAGTATTGAAGGCGTAGCTGATATTTCGCTATGGAGCTTCTCCTTCTGAGGGGCTCAACTTGATTCTATTTTTTTGTACAGAAACAGGAGAAGGGGGGTGTTTTTTTTTTTCCCCCAACCCGCTTTTCTTGTTTTTAACGGATTTTCCTTGTAATTTAATTCTTTTTGTGTAGCTGTTATTGTTAGGTAATACGAGGAACTCCAGTGGGAGCATGTGTATACAGAAGCAGAAAGAATTGGACTAATAAATTTATTCTCTCTTTGAATATTGTCTCTAGAAGAAATGTATGCAATTGCTATTAATGATGTGAAAATGTCATTTGATTTCATGCAATCACAAATTGAGGGTTGGTTTCGTAGGTGGGGAGGTAAGGTAGAATGCTCTTTGGTAGAGGGTTTTTAGAGGGGAATGGAATGTGTGGGGTAGTAGAGTAGGGTGGGGAGAGAGAGACACACAAAAATGAACTAGAAAGTGAAAAGAGAAAATACCTCCAATTTAAAGAGATACAAGAGTGAGACGAGGGGAAATGAAAAAATGAATTACTAAATCACGTACCTCCCCTCGTTTCCCTTCTAACTAAATAAGCGGCACAAAAGTTATATCCTTCCTCGCACTCTATTGAACCTCAAACTTATCTTACATTCTCTTCCTGTACCTCCTACCTCCTACCAAACCAAGCCTGAGAGTAGTCGAGGACTGATGCTTCCTCGGGCCTCAACTTTTTGTAACAAGCACTACTTAAGAGTATTTCTCAAGATTCGATTTTACGCTATTAAGTAAACATATGTTTTGATAAGATATCAAAATTTCATGTAGAAGAGAATTATGGATCCATCAGGTTCCAAACTTACTACCTTCGCCTCACGGTCACACATCCTTTTTATTGTTTCTTCTACTGGTAAGTTCGCCGTTGGTTGCAGCATGGATCATTTTAGTCCCTACTTCCCAGGGTTCATGATCTATTTTCCATTTCTAGTTTTTCAAGACACAAGCCCACCTCATTTGTAGAAATAGCTACAAATAGCAGCTTCCCCTTTCGTACAGATAAGATCACGCAACGCCCTGTGTTAAGACTTATCTACCAGCATATTTTAATTAGCCAAAGCAAGATCTCGACTGAAGACATACGTTGAGCCTGAGAATAACTGAACACAACTTCTTTCTCCACCGCGTAGAAAGAGGAGGAGAGGTGCTTATCACATTGAAACTCGTATAAAGATCCAACAGAAAAAGAAGAATTTTTTTTTGTTTCCCAGACTCATCAACAGGTTATTGCGACTTGACATTCTCAGTAAGTGAAGTAGATATGGTGAATATTTTAGGACTCATCATCGATGCATAGATGGGAGGAACGTTGACACTGATTTCTCAGGGCTGAATATCGAAGCACAAATTGAGAAGCCGAGCAGTAGAAAATATTGCAAGATCGGCTTGGCCCAAAGGAACAAATCCGCCCGAAATTGGACCCTCCCTATGAATTGTATTCATTTTCTAATTTATATTCAAAGACAATCACAACCATTAAATACAACGATTGTGATGAGAGTAGTGTAGAGACCACTATCTTTTTCTTTTTCTTTTTGTCGTGGAGAGGATCCGAATCTGGCCCATGATTAGGGAGGCGAGCAAGACGTAGCTCCGCGGTGGATTGTTTCAGTGTAGTTCCTGTGACCGGGAAGGAAATACATCCTGCAGCTGAAATACTTCTCCCACAAGCTGCCTCCAATTACCACTATAGAACAGATATTATCTGCGGTAACTATACTATAGTGCTGATCTCATATCATTCTCAGTATTTTGATACTGCTATATTAATCTCATACTATTTTGTTACTACAATACTAATCTCATGCTATTCTGATACTACAAGAGTTTCAAAAGTAAAGATTTCACACATTTCATATTTGTAATTTTGTATCTTGTGGTACGCAAATATGACAATATTTACAGAAAATTTGGAACTCGAAGTTTTTATCAACGCTTAGATGAGCAGTAACCCACAAGGACAGGTAACAATAGATGATCCTGACATTTGAAATTTCTAGCAAATAAACACATGAGCAGCAATTTCGCACATAAAGATCTTAAAAGAGTCTGGCAAATAAACACAATGGAATACAAACACACCAGTAGCAAAGCTGAAAACCAAATATCTTTCTTCTTATCAGCAAAGGAAATCAATCAGTTATATAGAAGTTTCTACAATACAACCTAAACTGCTAAGATGTGCTTGGATTATACCTAGAATCATGTTTCTTTAGGAGCCTTCTTTGCAGCCTCAGCAGCAGCTTTCTCCGCCTCTATTTCTGCAACAATGGCATCAATCTCGGCTTCCTCGAGTTGTTTGAGACCTTCATCTTTTGTCATAACTGCAATTTCAATGTTCTTTCCCCCACTCTCAACGACCTAAAAATAACAAATCAAAGCCATATAGCAGGTCACTCTCTCCAAAAAAACAATTTGCCCATTAAGTGCGAAAACACATTGCTAAAGTGTCGATAATTAACGTTCAGTTCTTCTGTAGAAAATGTCTTAAAATTAAATTATTTCAGAAACTAAGATGAAGTTTTTCACAAACAAAAAGTTAGTAAATTGCGATATTTTACTTTCACCCGCAGAAGTCAACTAGCAATTGAGGTGCAATGTAGATCGTTGGTGAGAGAACATGCTATTCTGAATGGGATGGCCATTAGCATAAACAAAGAAAGAAAGATCAGGCTATCTATGAAAACTCCTCAAAAGTTCCTATTAGTTCTCTTCTCTTCATAGACCCATGGCAGTTTTCTTAACAAAGAGACTATATGGTAGTTTTCTACAATAGAGGTGAAAGTTCATGAGATATACCACAGCTTAGCCAAATTCGTTTACAGGGAGGAGGAAAAACACAAAACAGTAATGTGAAAAGTAAATGAGCAGATAAACCATGACTTATTACTACATGATAAATAGAAGGGAAACTTTGTCAAATTATGTAGAAGTAACAGATGGAGACTCCATATTTACAGGTTCCTGTTTCGGACACTTAAATTACAAAACAACAAGGACAAGTAGGCATAAATCTTAGGCTCTAAAGTCTGAAATCAAATTCCACCAAATCCACTTGCTACTTTAAACAAAGCTACCCTAAAAGTTATGAGGCAATAGCTTATAGCCTACAACATTTGAACATCCTATCTTATTATATGTAAGGTCGTTTGCTAAAATCTTGTTGGTGCTAGAATCTTCATGAACAAGTTCATATAACTGTTTGTTTGCAGAAGAGGGATTTTCTAGTTCTCTCAACTACAAAAAGCAAAAAGTCCACCATATTATGTCCTTTCATTTTTTACTTTCTATTAGATAATATCTTGTGAGGCCTAATGTCCTAGCACATGTTTGAATCTCTCATCTTCAATTTTCTCCCTCATTCAAGTCAAGTGTTTCTCTAACTAACATTTTCTTGCACATAAAAGCTATATACCAAAAACTAATCTAACTTGATGAGTATTTATGTTTCCAAAAGCACCAGACAATGTTTTAGAAAGTGTTAGGTGCTTCTGGGACCAGACATAGCATTCAGGCACCTTGATGGACGCCTAAGCAGCATGTTTGCATTTTTAGCACCAGAAGAGAAAGGATTTTTTGTTTTCAAAAATTCAAAATCCTATCCTCACCATTTTAGCTGAGATAAATCTGGATTGAGTCTGATCTGATCTATTTTAACAACATGTTCTCTTTATCCATTATTAAGAGGGCAAGAAACCCCTTTTTGTCGCAGTGAGTCCACATAAATGGGCCATGTTCACCTAGGCATTCTCAAAAATTTTGTGGGCAGCCTAGGTACCACTTAGGCCCAGGCGGACGACATACAAGTTTTTATAAACATGGGCACCAGATACCTGAGCCAAATATCACTTCTTTTTTTCTAAATTTTTCATATCAAAGCTTCAAATCATGATATGAATCATATCACTTTCCATATGTATTTATCAATGATGTAATACTGTAAGATAATTTATAGACGTGCGGCAGTTAAATAATTAGGTGTATTGTGTAGAGCCATATATTCACGACTCACAAGAGGATGGACAAATTTAAGTTGAATAACCAAATAGAAATGTTAAGAGCTTACAAGGAAAATGACAAGAATGTAAATAACAAAAAAGAATAAAAGTTCAATGAGTACAAGGCCTTTAATTAAATGACAAAACACAATTCAACAAAATGTAAAAACATCAATATTTCAATGAATAAAAAGTTCCTAAACCAAGTCCATAATCGTCCCAAAATTAACAAAGCAATCCAACTTAACATCAATATCTATCACTATCATCATCTTCAAGAATCTTATAGTTATCACATTCAACTTTTCTCTGCATAACTCCCCTCAACTAGTTTCTTTTGCATTAATTATCAAGGTCTTATCAATAATTGGCATAGACACAAAGAAACCTCATGATGTACTACAAATATTAGAACTAACACTCATATGATTTACAATTACTATAAAATAACAGTTGTAACTCTTCTTTTCTTTTTTCCCGTCTTCCTTCATATTTGACGCAGTCATGGATGACTGTCTATGTTTCTCTTTGGTAGGCAAGACACACTGCCAAGTTCATCATCATTAACTTCATATATGAGATAGAAAAACCAGATTGTACGATTATATCCATTACATTCTTATCTCTTCCATTTCCAATTGTGGAATCTATTTAATAAACAAACTATGGCGTTACAAGGCAAAATACGTGAATTGCATATTTGAAATGGGACTTCAATATTGGGTTATGTTATCTATAGTTTGTGGAGGGGTGACAAAACCGGAGGTGATAATAGGATATATATTTCTATCAATCATTCAATTGAATAGGGATGAAAGTGGTCTAAGTTGGCTGCTCTGTATTAACATAAATATGGTTTCACGACTTCAATTTCATGGGGAAAGCACAAAGGACTTCATCTTAGTTAGCAATGATGCCAATGACTGTAGAGATGGCAGATTATAGCGGTGATGGTTTCATACAGAACCTACCACTACCCCCTTCTCAAAGATTAAACACATGAGCACCGACGAAAAAACATGGCGACTAAAACATAAGCGCTCCTAATAAACCTCCGATGTATCAGAAGGAGAAATTCTTTCTCATTGCCTTTTGCCACCTCTAAGTGAGCTCGCTACACTTTATTTCGCTATTAACAAAGTAATGTTCCCAACTCACTTCTATTTCAATCTTCATTCCTCAACAGCAGTACACTGCCTCGATATTCTACTCTATGATTCCTACAGGTTACAGCTCTTCCATCTAACTGTTATTATCTACGATATGTTTCCATCCTAAAGCCATAACAAAACTAACTGCAAAATAACCAATTAAAACATCATCCATACTACAATAGAAAATTCACCTCAAGCAATGCCCTGATGGCAAGCTTCACTGTCTCCTGTCCCGAAACCTCCTTATAGTTCTTCTCCAAGAACTCCCTCATCGAATTCGAGTTTCTCCCTGTAGCATTCGCCTTCCAAGCCGAGAAAGTCCCCGAGGGATCAGTCTGGTACAGCGCCGGCACTCCCTTATACGGATCAAACCCAACGATCAACGTCGATAGCCCAAACGGCCGAACCCCACCGCTCTGCGTGTACTTCTGCTGCATCCCAGCAATATACCTCGTAATATACTCCACAGTGACCGGATCCTCCACCGTCAGCTTATGGCTCTGGCACTCGATCCTCGCTCGATTGATCAGAACCCTGGCGTCGGCCTTGAGCCCGGCGCAGGCGAGGGCGATGTGGTCGTCGAGGTTGACGATCTTGCGGACCGATCTGAGATTGAAATCGAGATCAGAAACCCTAACCCTAACCCTAACCCTAGTCTTTTAGTTTCGGGAGGGTTTTTTTTATAGTTTGGTTACCTGGAGTCTTGGAGTTTGGCGGTGGACTTCTTCTCGACGCCGAGGACGACGTTGTCGGTGCCGCGAACGGCCGACGGTCCCGGCGTTGCCCTTGCGGACGCGCCCTCGATCGGTATTTACTTGGAAGAGGTGGCCGTCGGGCAGAGAAGACGGTGATCGCGCGATCGTAGCGAGCCATGGCGAGATTCTTTTGTTCTCTGTGGAGATGGGCTCTCGATTAGGGTTTTGTTTGAGAGAGGAAATGGAGAAAGAGAGGGGCTTGTTTGGTCACTTCACTTGGCTTGGAGAAGAAGTCGGGGGCTGAAAGCGGGTCGGGTACAACGGACCGAACCGACTTTAAATCAATGTCTCCCACCAAAAGCTCTCCCTTTGAGCGAACAAAGTAAAATAGTAAGGATGCGTTTGAGACCTTCACAAAATTTGTTTTAGATGATACAACCTTTGTTCACTACATTTTTTAAGTTTGGAAAAAGTTGGACCCAATTTGGACTACTTTTTTCTAGTTTAAAATCTAGCCCTTAAACCCGTTTTTTTGGACCAACTCTTATATGGTTCAACTCTAGTTTTAGTGTAGCTCAATTCTATTTTGAAGTTGTTGGATACAAGATTAATTGTGGATGGACTCCACATACTATATTCCAATTGCGAACAAGCCTATGAACCTTTTTGGTTGTTTTTAAGATAACCTAGTCCATAATCGAATCTAAGATCGGGAGAGTCATATTGGAATTTTCCAACCGTTTTTATCCCCTGATAAGTCTTTTTAGCTTTTTTTAGAAGGTCTGTTTGCACTTGGGCAAGTAACAAAGAGGTCTAGATCCATCCGTAATTAAATGATAGTACATGAAGTCTATCTACAATTAATCCATTTATGTATCTCATACACGACAACTAACATTTAGTTTACGGACTGCATATCTTTTTGTTACCAGTGCATAACGCGTGACCAATAAATTAATCTCTATGGTGTTCCTTTGACAGCATGTTCAATGAGGGACTAAACGGAATAAACCTCTTATTAACCATCCAAACACAAAAAAATCTACACCAGGAGCAGAGTGAATTAATTTTCCATAATTTATCAAACATGAAAATACAAAAAAGATAAATTAAAGCGCTATAAAGAGTTAAAATGAGAGGCTTACTCGTAACTCCTAATTATCACATAAATGGTGATAATCCTCGCACTTATAATAATGAGATAACATTTTAAACCATCGAAGCAACAACTAAATATATTCAGTTATTAACCCTGCTCGTAAGTCCCTCGACTCTTCCTTATTCCTCTCTCCCGCTCTCGCTCTCGCTCTCTCTCGCGTGCTATGCCATGTTCTCCAAATTCATTCACAAAAGAATCCCTCTCAAAACTTTATAATTAGACATCTAAATACAGATACCCATAGTGTGTGTGTGTATGTATATACCCATCTTTAAATCTAGAGTACAACAAATTGGTCACAATAATGACTACTGAGATTTGATTCTCCCGTTTCGGTTTTTTCTTCAGAGCACATGCTAAATCTTCCCACAAAGTGATGGCTATTGTGTTGAACCCGATAAAAGAATAAAATATATATATTTAATATCTATGTTATAAAATATATTTCTGTGTTTTTCATCTAAACAATAATAAAATTGTAACTTACTCATTATCATGCATTATAAAGCTTCTAAACAAAACTTTTTTTTCCATTCATGTCCATGCTATTAATCGCATAAATTTCATCAACTATTCCAATCATATTTATATAAAAAATAATTAAATTTTAGTATAATTTGACATACATTATAATCTATAAGGAATGTAAATTTAATACATACATATGAGAAATTTTTTTGAATCGATTCTTGATTCAATCTCTATGTAAGGAAGAAATTCAAATTTGTATTTTTCTATATCACCGTCATCCTCCTCTAAAACCTTGATATTTGTGCGATAACAAAAATGAATAGATATTGGAGTGCTTACTCGTTTGTACATCTTTTTTGGGGTAATAACCTTTAAATTTGTGAAAATATGAATTTTTTCTTTTTGTATTAATTTTCTCAATCGTAATGCATCACTCTTATGGTAAAAATAATGTACACGAGTGTTCTGTTAAAAATTAAATAAAACACATCATATTAAAGTAAATTTATATTATTTAAAATTATAATTATCAGTATATATAAAATTTTAAATGTACCTCGTTAGCAAGGAGAATAAAAGTTAATTCTAGATAAGATTTTAGTGTTTGTGTTTTGTCCTTCCCATGTTCAAGTGATTCTTCCTTTCAAGATGACATTATTTTGATCTGTTTGAAGTTCATTTAATGGTCTGTATGTTGCAATATTATTATTTTATCCTAATATCCTGATAAAATATCCACAAATTAATTTAATATGAATTTAATTTTAAATTATCAGGATAATGAGAGTTAATAAAATTAGTGATCATAATTAATAAAATATCATAGTATACATTTATATAATCTTATTAATTACTTATAATGAGAAAAAAATAGTATGTCAGTCACTCAAACTATAAAAATTCGTGTGGTTCCCGAGGATGTAGGCACGTTGCCGAACCTTGTTAAATTCGTGTGTTCTCCCTTGTTCTTATTTCTGTAAGTTTTTATCTTTGATTTGTGGTGAATTTCTTTCTTGCTCAACTTTCTAACAAGGTCTGGAAGGGCAATGGTTCGATTTGATTATTTCGAATCCCAAACACTTATGCCCTCGCTAATGAAATAATCAACGGTAGTTTGTCTAAAAGTCTAAAGACAATTATCATGTTATTCATGTAAAGACGCGAAAGCGTTTAAGTGAGACTTTGATTAAGCAAAATATGTGATGGCTTCCAGACATAATTACTCTGTCAAGGCAGCGTTTTTGCGTTTCTATCTCATACTTCACCATTTAGACAAATTGAGACACCATATTAAGTTCTCCTGAGGTCTAGCATTCCATTAAAATCCTGACAAAATGGTCAAAGCAAACTTTAGATCTGTCAATATATTATCTAGCTTCCTTCTTTATAATGACGGCCTTATATAACCATTATTATAGTCATTGCATGTCAACATACAAGATAATGATTATAGAACGATGCCAAAATGTTGCTTCGCTAATAAGAATGATCCAGATTCAAAATAGAGTTATTATTTCAGCAAAAAAGAAAGAAATAAATAAAAAAGAAAACTATAAATACATAGCGTCACAATTCACATTAACTAGATTTTTATTTATATATCTTTAACAAAGTTACATCTTAACTCTATGACTCAAACTGAACTTTCAAAAAGAACAACAAATATTAAAATACATATGAAGAATGATCACCAAATTATACTATGTACACATACTTTTTGAGTTAATTTTAATGCGTATCTAACCATTATAAATCTAGCTAAACATGATCGTTGTTTAACCATAAGATATCCAAATTAATCTTGTCAAAATCATATATTAGTTTCACTTAATTATCGTACAATAATACTTACCACAATTTAAAATTTATAATTATTACTCTAAATTTACAATGATACCTGAGTTCGTGGACGGCGCCGGAGGAGTTGATGAAGTCGGAGAAGATGACACAGCGGAGACGACAGAGTTGATGAAGTCGGAGGGGTTGATGAAGAGGATCAAGAGAAGAGAGGCGGAGAAATTTTATGGGGCGGAGAAATTAACCGAGAGGGAGGGAGGCGGAAGCGATGTTCTTTGAAAGGGCGACGTTTCACTTTTTTCCCCAATTGTTGATTCTTTTCAATCTGTAGGATAATTTGAGAGAGGTGAACTGATGGCTACATATGTAGGTAACATAATTAGTGAGATAATTATGACAAATTATCCAAATTCTAATTATAGTAGAATTCTACTTGACTAACGCACAAAAAAAATAACATAGTTCTAATTCTACAAAAGTTTTACTTGACTAACACTTTAAAAAAATATCTCATTTCTTAATTTTATGTCACCTTAAAAATTTATCCCACAGATTATCTTAGTTTTATTTTTAAGTTCTAGGTGACTAACCCCTTAGTAAACTCGCATTAAAGAGAAGGTGGGAGGTGGGTAGGGTTCACGTGCTTCGATGGGGGTGAGTCATTAAATCTTTTAAATTATATTTAGTTACTAGTAATTAAAATAAAACGAAATAGTGATGAAATGTAATAAGACCGTGCATGGGCTAAAAGACTAGTATTAAGTTATTAACCCTGTTCCTAAAGCACTCGACTCGATTCCCTCACGAGATTCCTCTCTCCCACTCTCGCTCTCTCTCTCTCTCTCTCTCTCTCTCTCTCGCGCGTGCTATGCCATGTTCTCCAAATTCATTCACAGAAGAATCCCTCTCAAAAGCTTGCCCACATTTTCTCTCACCAATTCCTCACAAGTTCGAACCTTTGCCCAAGGAGTCCAAGTCGTCGACGATGACGAACCCAGAGATACGCTCTGCTCTCGAGTTGAGAGTCTCCGCAGGTGCGAATCCGTCGTCGCAGCGTTTCAGAGCTGGATGGGCGAGGGATTCTCAATCCATCGCGGGGATGTTTTCCATGCCATCAACCGACTGAGGAAGCTCAAGAAGAATAAGAGAGCGCTCGAGGTGAGCTAAGCCCATTCATTGTTTGATAAAATGACAAAGAGAAGAGACACAAATGTAGTTGTTTTTTTAATCTTTCTTCATTCGGTTTTTTTTTATATTTTAGTTATGGGTGTGTGGGAATTGAGAATATATAAGGTTTTGGTCTGAGGGGGGTGTGCTGAATTTTTTTACATGGGTTGAAAACTTTGATTTTGCGCTGTAGATGTCCACACGGGGTTAGATTGATTAAAAGTTGGATATTTATTTATCCTTATTATAATATGATTTTTTTAAAGGAAAATCCTTATATAATACCTCTTAATCATAATATAATAGTTGGCTGTTGACGGAGTTAAATTTGGAGGGGAAAATGTGGGGTGGGGTGGGGTGGGGGATCATGTATCACTCTAAAGATTTGGGATAAAGCTTGGTTTTGTTGGGAAATTACTCGGATTCCCCTATTGCCAGATTTGAGAGGAAGCGAAAAAATAAAATGCGCAAAATGGGGGACACGCAAGATTTACGTGGTTCAGCACAAAATTGCCTACGTCCACGGGCTGCTGCAGATCTTTCACTATGAAGAGAAATTTTATAACACTCTTAATTTTCTCACAACTCAATCTCACTCTGAAAATTGCTCACAATTTTCTCTCACAAAGACTTTTCTCTAAGCCTCTCTTTTCTCTCTCTTGCTCTTCTATAAGAGGAGTTGTTTCTGGGATGATTTTTCCTTAAGAGTTTGGGGGCCTATTTATAGTGTTTGGGAAAATACTATGCACTAATATTTTATTAGTGGTGGGGCCCGCGGTTCTTCCCGGTCTTCATACTATTGCAGGCCAACTGAAGCTGAACACAGCTTCAGTTTGTCAATAGTCACCGTCTTTGTCAGCATGTCTGTCGGATTTTGAGCTCCACTGATTTTTTCAAGCTTCAAAATTCCATCTTTCAGAAGTGACCGGATAAAATGATATCACATCTGTATGTGCTTCGTTCTGGAATGGAAAGACGGATTCTTCGCTAGATGAATAGCACTTTGACTGTCTCGTTCTGGAATGGAAAGACGGATTCTTCGCTAGATGAATAGCACTTTGACTGTCGCAGTATAAGACATTGTCTTCTTGTTTCATTCTTCGCTAGATGAATAGCACTTTGACTGTCGCAGTATAAGACATTGTCTTCTTGTTTCTTGCCTAATCCATCCAAGAAAATTTGAAGCCACACCATTTCCTTGCTGGCTTCTGTAACAGCGACATATTCTGTTTCAGTTGTGGAGAGAGCAACTATCTTCTGCAGTTGAGAAGCCCAACTCACTGCAGTACCTCCTAGAGTATATACATACCCTGTAGTGTTCTTTCTGATATCAACATTTCCTGCTAGATCAGCATCTACATAGCCTGTTAGTATTGTATCTCCACCTTTGAAACAAAGTGCTTTACCTGTGGTGCCCCGTAGATATCTGAGGATCCATTTGACTGCTTCCCAATGTACCTTGCCTGGATCATTCATATACCTGCTAACAGCTCCCACTGCTTGAGAAATATCTGGTCTTGTACAAACCATGGCATACATCAGACTTCCAATTGCTGAGGCGTACGGGACCTTCGCCATCTGTCTTCGGTGACTGTTCTTTAGAAAGTCTGAAATGAACACCTAAAGGTGTACCCACTGGTTTTGCATCTTGCATGTTGAACCTGGAGAGTACTTTGTTGATGTACTCAGCCTGTGATAACATCAAGATTCTAGACTTCGTGTCTCTCTTGATCCTCATTCCAAGAATCTGTTTTGCCGCACCAAGATCTTTCATCGCGAACTGTTTTGACAATTTCTGCTTCAAATTTATAATCTCTTGCAGATCTGATCCTGCAACGAGCATGTCATCAACGTATAACAATAAAATAATGAAGCTATTGTCAAACCTCTTGATATAGCAACAATGATCTGCTTGGCATCTAGTGAAACCGTTGCTGTTCATAAAGCTGTCAAACTTCTTGTACCACTGCCTGGGAGCTTGTTTCAATCCATACAAGCTCTTCTTCAAACGACATACTAGATTTTCCTTGCCTGCCTTTATGAAGCCTTCTGGTTGCTTCATATAAATCTCCTCCTCCAAATCACCATGAAGGAAAGCTGTTTTTACATCTAACTGCTCAAGATGTAAATTCTCAGCAGCTACAATTTTCAACACTAATCTGATTGTAGTTAGTTTCACAACCGGGGAAAAAATTTCATTGTAATCGATACCTTCCTTTTGCTGAAAGCCTTTGACAACCAACCTTGCCTTGTAGCGTTTGTTCCCATCATGTTCTTCTTTGATCCTGTAAATCCATTTGTTATGAAGAGCTTTCTTACCTTGTGGTAATTCAGCTAAGTCTCATGTCTGATTTGACATGAGCGAGTCCATCTCATCTTGCATATTACCTTGTGGTAATTCAGCTAAGTCTCATGTCTGATTTGACATGAGCGAGTCCATCTCATCTTGCATAACAGACTCCTACTTGACTGAATCTTTCATCTGTATTGTTTCGTCATAACACTCCGGTTCACCACTGTCAGTCAGCAACAAGTAGTGCAAAGAAGGCGAATAACGCTGGGTTGGCTTAGGAATTCTGGAGGAGCGTCTCACTTCTGGCGTGCTTGGTTCTTCTTGAACTGCTTCAGGGCTAGTCTGAACATCTTTTTCAGAAATCTCCTCAAATTCAGCAAATTCCTTTGTTTCAGCTTTTGTACTGGAGCTACTTGATTCTGCAGTTGATCTGTCTTTGTACATCACATTCTCATTGAATATGATATCTCTGCTTCTGATGATCTTCCGATTTTCATAATCCCAAAATCGGTAACCAAACTCATCACCACCATAACCAACAAAAACACATTTGTTAGATTTGGCATCAAGTTTACTTCTTTCAGCAGAATCTATGTGTACATAAGAGATACAACCAAAAATTCTTAAATATGAAAGGTTTATCTCTTTTTTGCTCCAAGCTTCTTCCGGTATTCCACCATCCAAGGGAACTGAGGGTCCGCGGCGCGGTTGATTAGATAGGCTGCGGTATTGATAGCTTCAGCCCATAGGAACTTGGGCAAGCCGACATGTAACCTCATGCTTCTGGCACGTTCATTCAAAGTTCTGTTCATGCGCTCTGCTACGCCATTCTGCTGCGGTGTCATGGGAACTGTTTTCTCCATCTTGATCCCGCTGTTTGCGCAAAACTCTTTGAATCTACTATCTTTGTACTCTCCTCCATTGTCTGACCTCAACTTCTTTATCTTCAAACCAGTTTCATTTTCCACCATGGCCTTCCATTTTCTGAAGGTATCAAAGACTTCTGATTTCTTCTTCAGAAAATAAACACACACCTTCCTTGTAGAATCATCAATGAAGGTGACATAGTACAGTGAGCCTGCAAGAGATGAAACTGGAGATGGTCCCCATACGTCGGTATGAATTAATTCTAACCTTTCTGTCTTGGGTGTCTTGCCAATTTTTGCAAAACTGACTTTCTTCTGTTTGCCAAAGATACAATCCTCGCATAGGCCGACATCTACATTCTTCAGATCTGGTAGCTTCCCTTTTGACAGAAGTGTCTTCATCCCTTTCTCGCTCATATGGCCAAGCCTTTGGTGCCATAGGTTTGATTTTTCATCTGCATCTGTTACTGCAATGATATTCTCTAAGTTAGAGGTTATATAGAGAGTACCATTTTTCTTACCTCGAGCAATGACGAGTGCTCCTTTGGTAATCTTCCATTCATGACCCGAGAAGGTTGTACAATAACCCTCTCCATCAAGTTGTCCCACAGAGATCAAATTCCTTCTAAGACCAGGAATATGTCTTACTCCTTGCAGCTTCCATGTGGTCTGATTTGGCAATTTTAATCGAATGTCTCCCTTGCCAACAATCTTCAAGGTTTCATCATATGCTAGATGTACCTTTCCGAAATCACCGCTGACGTAGTTCTCCATGATTTCTCGGCATGGGGTGGAATGAAATGATGCCCCTGAATCAAGAATCCATGATTCAATCGGACTGTTGACGCTTAGAATCATAGCATCATCTCCTTCCTCGGTTACGTTGGTAGACTCCTGTGCGCCGGTATTTTTCTTCGGTGCCCGACACTCCCTCTTGAAATGACTGTATGTTGGAAAAATTACAAAGAAGAGAATAAAGAAAATTGATTTATATTCCTTTGATCTCGGTTACAACTTGATTACAAAAGAGGAGAGAACGGATTTGATTCTCTCCTTTGTTTAAAACTGGGTTCTTCACGGTGGCGATGGAATGCCTCCTTCGATTGCTCGCGTCGAAATTGCTCTCCGTTGACGATCCGCTGTTTTGCTTCACTGGAACGATATCTTCTCCTCACGATTTGACGTTGTGGAGAACTTGCGTGGCAAGTTTAAAACTCTTGATGAGTTGATAACTCTGAACGAGTTTTAACTCTTGAAAAAGAGTTGATTTGAACCGAAAGTCGGTTATAAGCCAAGGACAGAGGCTCTCTGTTGCTGAAGTTGAAGATGATCTTCGTTGGGAGATGATGCCGATCTCCTCAAAAGCCTGTCTTCAGTGGTCGATCCAAGCCAAGAAGATCCAACCGAAAAAAAAGAAGCCCCCCTGAACTGAATTGATCTTCAGTTATTTATAGAGGATTAAGGGGGGTGAAACCCGCCCCTTAAATCTCTCCTAAGTGGGGTGTAACCGCCCCCAAATCGTGGGAAACGGTTTTAGAACCGTTCAACTCATGTTGAATGAGTCAAACGCCCACGTTGGCGTTCAGGACCCTAACCTCACGTCTTAGGATTGAGACGCGAGGTTGGGTATTGGCTGAACATTGATGAACGCGAGGGTCGCTCGCGTTTTGGTTTGTTGTAGCTTAGAAACGCGGGGGTCGGTGTTGGCTGGACCCCTACGAACGCGAGGGTCGCTCACGTTTCGCCTGTTGTAACGCGGGTCCGACTCCAGCGTTTTGATGTTGTGACGCGGGGTTCGACCCTGGCGTTTTGATGTTGAGACGCGGGGTTCGACCTGGCGTTTTGATGTTGTGACGTGGGGTTCGACCCTGGCGTTTTGATGTTGTGACGCGGGGTTCGACCCTCCCGATGTTGATTGTGAAGGCTGTTGAAGTAGAGCTTCCATCAGTTGTCGTGAAGGTCGTCAGATTGTAACCTTCAGCAATCTACGCGAAAGTCTTCAGATTACAGCCTTCTGGAAGTCGTCAGATTGTAACTTTCATCATCGGTGGTTGATGGGGGATAAACTATCTATTGTGATTTTTAGACAGCCTACAATGACCCTTCTTGCCACAATTGTAGCACTTGAAGTCTTTCTTTCCTGATCTAGATTTGCTCCTTCTAGATTTTGATCTGCCGTGATTTGAACTTCTTTCTGAAGTTCTTCCCCTAGACTCCGTGTGTAAAGCTGAGGAGGTTGAAGCTTTACCCGATTCTCTCCGTCGGATCTCTTCACTAAGAACCAGATCACGAATATCATCGAACTTCAACTTGTTGCTTCCCGATGAGCTACTCACAGCCGTGACTGTAGCGTTCCAGCTTTCTGGTAGAGAAGAAAGAAGTATCAATGCTCGTACTTCTTCATCAAATTCAATCCCAACTGAACTCAACTGGGTTGTGACTATGTTGAGTTCATTGAGATGTTGAGCTGTCGATGCGCCTTCCGTCATTCGCAAATTGAACAGCCGCCTCATCAAGTGAACTTTGTTTGAGGCAGAGGGCTTCTCGTACATGCTGCAGAGAGCCGCCATAAGACCCGCCGTGGTCTTTTCCTTTGCTATGTTGAAGGCAACGTTGCGGGATAGCGTCAATCGGATAACTCCAAGGGCTTGTCTGTCGAGGAGAGCCCACTCTTCATCCTTCATATCATCTGGCTTCTTTCCCGAGAGAGGTTGATACAGCTTCTTCTGGTACAGATAGTCTTCGATCTGCATCTTCCAAAAGCCGAAGTCCGCACCATCAAACTTCTCAATTTTCACCTTCCCTTCATCTGCAGCCATCGCTCCCACTCGAATATGACTTCCTCTGGATCGTTTCTGATAATTTCTGCGAACCACCGTGTATTAAGACACCTCTGCCGACAAGTCAGTATCACCGGCAAAATTCTACTATTCACGAAATTTACTATTCACGTGAATAGTAATCTTACAGAAATTTGACAGTTGTCACAACCAGAGCTCTGATACCAGTTGTTGGGAAATTACTCGGATTCTCCTATTGCCAGATTTGAGAGGAAGCGAAAAAATAAAATGCGCAAAATGGGGGACACGCAAGATTTACGTGGTTCAGCACAAAATTGCCTACGTCCACGGGCTGCTGCAGATCTTTCACTATGAAGAGAAATTTTATAACACTCTTAATTTTCTCACAACTCAATCTCACTCTGAAAATTGCTCACAATTTTCTCTCACAAAGACTTTTCTCTAAGCCTCTCTTTTCTCTCTCTTGCTCTTCTATAAGAGGAGTTGTTTCTGGGATGATTTTTCCTTAAGAGTTTGGGGGCCTATTTATAGTGTTTGGAAAAACACTATGCACTAATATTTTATTAGTGGTGAGGCCCGCGGTGGGGCCCACGTATAATTTTTTCTTGCTCTGGGACCCGCTCACCTATCCTCTTCTGATTTTCCGGTGGCATGAGAATTTTGACAAAGCCGAAAGAGCCAAAGGCTCTTTCGGTGGCATGAGAAGTTTGAAAAAAAAAACTTTCTTTTGTGTGCTTTCGGTGGTCTGCACACATTCTTTGACTAACAGGTTTTTGTTTTCGTTCGGATGTTAAGCAAATCATCATTTTCCTATTGCAATCTTATTCTGTTGAACATTGAAATTTTCTTTTCAGGACAAATCTTTTTCGTTAAGCTCAAACTATTAACTTAGATTAATATTTCATGCCACCTTCGAGCTACTTCTTGCTTGATACTTCAATGAAGAAGAGAAAGAAACCCTAAATTTGTAGTTCTATAAACTTTTCTAACTCTGTTTGCCCGGTTATATGACATTTTTACTGCATTCTTCTGACAGGTTATGGAGTGGGTGATCAGAGAGAGACCGTATAAAGTGAAAGAGCTAGACTATTCTTTTCTTCTGGAATTCACAACTAAACTTCATGGTGTATCACATGGTGAAAGCCTCTTTCTTCGTGTCCCTCATGAGCATCAGAATGAATTGCTCTACAACAACCTAGTAATTTCATGCCTGGATCAGGGTAAAATCAGGCTTTCTCTTGATTACATGAGAAAGATGAGAGAACTGTCCTTCCCTATTTCTTATCATGTATATAACCGTTTGATTGAACTCCATTCTTCTTCTGGTCGCAAGAAATCTATCCCTAAAATCCTCACACAAATGAAGGCTGATGGTGTTTGTCCACATGTATCCACTTATAACATTCTTTTGGATATCGAAGCTAGTGACCATAACATTGAAGGTTTATCTAAAGTGTTCAATGATATGAAGCGATTGAAAATTGAACCAAATGAAATCACCTATGGAATTCTAGCAAAAGCACATGCTGTGGCAAGACTTTACACGGTATCTGAGATGTACACAGAGGCACTTGAAAGGTCGAAGACTGGCAAAAATTGGTCTACATTTGATGTTCTTATTATATTGTATGGTTACTTGGGGAAGGAAAAAGAATTGGAGAGGACGTGGAAGTCAGTTGAGGAACTTCCTCATATTAGATCCAAAAGCTTTGTGTTAGCAGTCGAAGCATTCGGAAGGATAGGTTCCATACATAGAGCTGAAGAAATTTGGGCAGAGATGAAATCGAAGGAAGAAATAAAATTACCACAGCATTTCAATGCAATTATATCAGTGTATAGTAGGCATGGACTTGTGGACAAAGCATCTGAGATGTTCAAAGAAATGGAAGCAAATGGATGCAAGCCAAATTCTATAACTTACCGTCACCTTGCGTTGTGTTGTTTAAAAGCAGGTTTAGTAACTGAAGCATTGAAGACTATTGAGATGGGAGAGAATGAAGGTTTGAGCTTTCAAGTAAGAAGATCTGTACCATGGTCTGAAACTACTCATATGCTACTGGAATGTTTCGCTGATGTCGGTGATTTAGAGAATGCCAAGAAATTATTTCAGGAATTTAAAGAGACGAAGTATAGTAGATATACCTTTGTATACAATAGCTTTCTAAGGGCTCATGTGAAGGCAAATGTTTATGATCCTGATTTATTGAGGAAAATGATTCTAAGAGGAGCAACGCCTGATGCCGAGACATACAGTCTTGTGAGACTAATTGAACAGTTCAAGAAATGATTTCCTTGTTGCATCATTTGGGTATTATCGTATAGAGAAAAAGGGAAATGGAGCTCTTTTACCAGAAACCATTTTAACGAATATTCGTTGTCTCTTCAAGGCAGAAACCCAAGTCTTCAATACTACTATACTAAAAGATACGCTGATGAGTAGAAAATTTATCTTGCTTTTCCTTTTTGGATTTTTATGGCAGTTTTAGGAGTAAAGAAGTTTTTATGAAGCTCAATCGAAATTTATATGTAAGTTTTGACCAAGGAATTTGAGGGACACAGGCTTATATCCTACACGAGTGTTGACTGCAATTGCGGAATTATTTGAAGTTGATCAATTACTTTTTGACCATCCATCTTTTTCAAGAAAAGTTCCCTCCAATAAGATCCTTTTGAATTCATTACAATTCCAAATATACTACTCATCTCCATGTACGTTCTCCATCTTGAAAAGTCCTCTCTTTTACCGCTATTCAAATCCCTGTTCCTCTCCTCTATGATGTGTAACTCCAGTCAAGAAATCACTGCTGAGACTATTCTATACCACCACCACTACAAATAGCAGAAAACAATTGACCCTTCATGCTCCACCCATAAAAAAAACTCATGGGCTCATCAACACGATCCAAGCCTCATGCTGTGTGCATGCCTCTCCCAGCTCAAGGCCACATAAACGCCATGATAAAGTTAGCGAAGCTCCTCCACTTCAAAGGCTTCCACATAACCTTCATCTACACTGAATCCATCTACAATCGAATACTTGCCAGCAGCTCTCCAGACTCTCTTCCGTGCTCCACTGATTTCCAATTTGAGACGATCCCTGATGGCATGATGGCGGGTGATATGGTTTCTTTTTTTGAGTCTGTTCGTGATGATTTTGCTGATCCTTTTGGTGAACTTGTTAAGAGACTCAATGAGCCTTCCTCTGGAGTTCCTCCGGTGAGCTGTATAATTTCTGATAGCTTTACTAGTTTCACGCTTGGGGTTGCTGCGGAGCTTGGAATACCTGATGTTTTCTTTTGTTCTGTGAGTGCTTGTTCCTACTTGGGCATGCTTCAGTATGATGAGCTCATCCGAAGAGGGCTCGTACCACCCGAAAGTATGTCTCATTTTCATTTTCGTATCAACTTTTTTTCATTACTGTTCATAGTAGAATGTTCTTTATTTATTGGATTAATTGTGGATAGAACCCCGTGTACTATCGCCAAATCGAACTTACTATCCTTGTAGCTCTATTGGTGTAGACAGACCCCCTAAAAAGGTTCTATTGTTGCAGTAAACCCTCTGAGTGAAAACCTTTTGTTGCAGATTGACCCCCTCAAAAGAGTATAATTTTTTTTCACTCTGGGGGTCTATCTGCAACAATAGTAACTATAGGGGTAAGAAGTTCAATTTGATGATAGTACAGCGGGTCTATCTGCAATCAACCCTTACTTATTCAAATTTGCACCGAGTAGATCTCTCTTTGTTATTTAGATAACATACAAAATTAAGGAGGATAGATGCAAGTTACATCACAAGTTCATTCAATCATACTGTTGAGTTGGTAAAAGTTGCATATTGTATCTCGTCCCTTAATGGGGGCTTGAGTTTTAGTATATTCTTCAATTCTCATCATGTACTTGTTGAATTTTGCTGTGATGACAACTGCAATAAGACTTCTTCGGCCATTTGAAACTATGGGGGGAAAACTTACTTGATGTAACTATCCCACTAGAACAAGACAGACTGGCCACCAAAACTAGGACAATCACTGAAGAAAAAGCACCTTGAATAAGACAGACTGGCCACCAAAACTAGGACAATCACTGAAGAAAAAGCACCTTATTGTTATTATGATGTTGCTTTTGACTGGATTTGTTAGGAATTTAACGCCGAAATCCCTAATGCAACGGAAACGCAGAATAGAGAACAGTACACCAAGTTTTAACAAGGTTCGGTAACTGCTTACGTCCTCGGGAGCCACACAGATAATTTCTTATTAATCAAACAAGAAATTACAATTTAGGAGCAGATCTCAAAACTGAGATTTCTCAAATAAACACTGTAGCTACAGTGTTAATAATTAAAAGGTATGAACCCTTTCAATTCTCACTTGAGAATAAATGAATAACCCCACAATATAAAACCCCTTTTAGTTCTCTCTCTCTCTTCTTAAATCCCCCTTCAATCACTGTTGAAGTTGGGGATTAAAAACAAAATCGCAGCAGCGATTTTAGGGCAGCCGCCAGAGAGAAAATCGGAGGAAGGGGGAAAATCGCAGCAGCAAAACCCTAGGCGATGGGGGGTTATATAGGCGGAGATGAGGGGCTGGCGACAGCCTGTCGCCAGCGAATAACCCTGACGCAAAGGTCGGGTTCGCCAAAAAGAACGCAGAGCTCGGGGAAGGCGAACGCAGAGCTCGGGGGAGGCGAACGCAGAGTTCGGGGGAGGCTCGAACGCAGAGCTGTGCGAACGCAGAGCTCGCCTGTGCTGCCGAAGATCGCCTGGACCTCGCCGCCTGTGGCTTCGCCTGTGACTACCGGAGCTAGGTTGGTATCCACCCCCAACCTAACAATCTCCCACTTGGAGACCAAACCGACGTCAATCAGGCTATCTCATCAAGCTCCTCTCTGTTTGCGTCAAAAGTTGGTTTTGTCATGGAATTCATTATATCTTCGGTCGATTACAATAAATTCAAAAGAAATAGTCTTTTTATAAGACTTCTTTTACACAACAAAAGGAAAATTACAACTCTTGAGAAACAAACGCAGGATCGTTGTTTGGATCACTGCTTGCGTGGGATCTTTGCCTGTGCCGGGGGTGCGTTAGCCCGTGGACCACCAAATCACAGATTCTGATTTAAGCCGCGACACCATAGGCTGCCGCGCCTTAGCCGCGACACCTTGGGCTGCCGCGCCTTAGCCGCGACACCTTGGTCTGTCACGCCTTTGCCGCGACACCATGTTTTGCCGCGCCGCCATGTGTTGCTTGATGACGTGTATATTGTTCTTCTATATCGTCTTGAGTGGTGTTTGAATGTCTGTAAGCATTTTTTGATGTCTACAGATACCCCCTCCAAAGTATCTCAGACTCATCATTTTTTTAGAGAGGGGTCTGGGATACTTTGGATATGATAAGCTTTCCCTGCAATTTCTCCAGTGCTTTGTTGAGGAAATTGTGCAGAATGGTTTGTGAATGGCTTCAATCCTTGATTTCTTCATCTTTTAGCCTATTCAGTACTTTGTAGAATAGCTAAAATTCCTCCGGTTCTGTGTTTATCGCGTGGCCGTTGTCGAAATCTCGAATTAGAACTGCTGTTGAAGAATTTGAGAAACAGTTTATACTCATATACTATATTGGAGTGTTCGGGAAATAGTTTAACCTCATATACTCGTTGGGAGGTTCAAGGAGATGCAGTTTATACTCATATACTCATCGGAGTGTTCGGGAAGTAGTTTAACCTCATATACCCGTTATGAGGTAACCAGGTTATTCTTAAGAATATTTTGAGTAATATTCTCCAGAAACTTCCTGTTGAGATTAGGGAAATAGTTTAGACTCGTATACCTATTGGAGTATTCTGGTCTCTTGTTTGTTGGTAGAGATGAACCCGATAATGGAGAGGAAGAATTTTATATTCTGTCTCCTGGTCTCTTGTTTGTTGGTAGAGATGAACCCGATGATGGATGGACCTCTCGTTCATGGAACGAATCGAGAGGGGATTTTGGCTTTGGTCCTAACTGTTTAAAGGTTTGACCAAGATGGGAATTTGAGACGATCCTAACTGTTTAAAGGTTTGATCGTTCAATTTGTGGACCTCTCGTTCATGGAACGAATCGAGAGGGGATTTTGGCTTTGGTCCTAACTGTTTAAAGGTTTGACCAAGATGGGAATTTGAGACGATCCTAACTGTTTAAAGGTTTGATCGTTCAATTTGTGGACCTCTCGTTCATGGAACGAATCGAGAGGGGATTTTGGCTTTGGTCCTAACTGTTTAAAGGTTTGACCAAGATGGGAATTTGAGACGATCCTAACTGTTTAAAGGTTTGATCGTTCAATTTGTGGACCTCTCGTTCATGGAACGAATCGAGAGGGGATTTTGGCTTTGGTCCTAACTGTTTTTTTGGCTTTGGTCCTGGGAGTTTTGAGACGATCCTAACTGTTTAAAGGTTTGATCGTTCAATTTGTGGACCTCTCGTTCATGGAACGAATCGAGAGGGGATTTTGGTTTTGGTCCTAACTGTAGTAAAGTTTGACCAAGTGGGAGTTCGAGACGATCTTAACTGTTTAAAAGGTTTGATCGTTCAATTTGTGGACCTCTCGTTCATGGAACGAATCGAGAGGGGATTTTGGATTTGGTCCTAACTGTTTAAAGGTTTGACCAAGATGGGAATTTGATACGATCCTAACTGTTCAAAGGTTTGATCGTTCAATTTGAGGACCTCTCGTTCATGGAACGAATCGAGAGGGGATTTTAGTTTTGGTCCTAACTGTTTAAAGGTTTGACCAAGATGAGAATTTGAGACGATCTTAACTGTTTAAAGGTTTGATCGTTCAATTTGTGGACCTCTCGTTCATGGAAGGAATCGAGAGGGGATTTTAGTTTTGGTCCTAACTGTTTAAAGGTTTGACCAAGATGGGAATTTGTGAGGGAAGATTGATCTAAAGAGGTGATCGAATCTCATCTCAGCAAAAGAGTATTCAGAAGTTATATGGGAATTTTGTGAGGGAAGATTGATCTAAAGAGGTGATCGAATCTCATCTCAGCAAAAGAGTATTCGGAAGTCATAGTAGGAGTTTAGTGTTTATCACTTTGTTCATAATGATCGGGGTTATCCCTAAGAATATTACATTTAACATTCTTCCGGGAACTTCCCGTTATATGATTTATCCACCCCCAGCTTCCTTTGCGAAACCGGGTTTAACATTGTACTCAGTTGGATAATCGAGAAGCAGTTTATACTCATATACTCTTTGGAGTGTGGGGAAACAGTTTATACTCGTGCACCCACTGGAGTTTGGGGAAACAGTTTATACTCGTGTACCCAATGGAGTATTCTGGCCGTCTTTACTCGACTTCTTTCGTCGTTATGACGCCGGAGTCAATTAGGGCTTGGATCCTGTTTTTAAGTCCAAAGCAAATCTCGGTGGGATGAAGAACCCTTCTGTGGTACGCACAGTAATTTGGATCCGTAATCATCTTAGCTCCATCCTGATCTTTAATAGGTGGTAGCTCGATTTTGTCATTAGCGAGGAGGTATTCCAAGATGGCTGGAGCTTCATCATCTTCGAAAGAATATTCTTTTTGAAACCTCGGATCGAGAGTCGCATTCTCAATGATTGCAGATGTCATTGGTTGGCCTCTCTCAGCTTTCTTTCTTTTAAGAAAGTGCTCAGCTTGTTCACCCCGAGATTTTAACTCCTTCCAAGTTGTGGATGGCACAACCCCCAGAGCTTCCAGGACATCGATGGAGAGGTTATTGTGGCATGTTTGCAGGATGAACTCCTTCGTGATAGGATCTCTGCCTCGTATACTTTTCGGAGTGAGGGGAAACAGTTTATACTCGTGTACCCAATGGAGTTTTATGGTCGTCTTTACTCGACTTCTTTCGTCGTTATGACGCCGGAGTCAATTAGGGCTTGGATCTTGTTTTTGAGTCCAAAGCAAATCTCAGTGGGATGAAGAACCCTTCTGTGGTACGCACAGTAATTTGGATCCATAATCATTTTAGCACCATCCTGATCTTTAATAGGTGGTAGCTCGATTTTGTCATTAGCGAGGAGGTATTCCAAGATGGCTGGAGCTTCATCATCTTCGAAAGAATATTCCTTTTGAAACCTCGGATCGAGAGTCGCATTCTCAATGATTGCAGATGTCATTGGTTGGCCTCTCTCAGCTTTCTTTCTTTTAAGAAAGTGCTCAGCTTGTTCACCCCGAGATTTTAACTCCTTCCAAGTTGTGGATGGCACGACCCCCAGAGCTTCCAGGACATCGATGGAGAGGTTATTGTGGCATGTTTGCAGGATGAACTCCTCTGTAATAGGATCTCTGCAATTCATCGCCATGTTACGGAAACGCTTGACAAAATTGTCGACTGACTCTCCGTCTTTTTGCTT